GAATTCATCTCCTCCTAAAATCACATGAAAGGGACATTAAACAGGCTAATAAGGATGAGTTGAGACCACATATGCTCTTTGAGCTCATATTTTGAATATATTTTCATGAGAATTAGGTCCTAAACATACTTGGGATGTCCCCAGTTCCTAACTCAATTTTATTTGCTAACTTGTTTTGAGAACTTTGGGCCTCAGTTTCCTTCTCTAAGTCACTTGGGAGATATGGAAACTATTAAAAAGTTGATGGAATTCTCTCCCTTACATAAGAATACGTGGGAAAATCTCTTAGCAGATGATATCAGGGAAAGATGTAGACCCCCTGAAAACAAAACAGAAAATCAGAATTTCTTTTTCTGAAGTAAGGATGACTGTATAATTCACTATGTCTTGTTTGGGTATTTTTTTTTTCTCTGTTTACTTTGGTTGCCAAGAAGCACAAAGTTAAATTTGTCTCATGTTGAGCAACTCTCTCATTTCAGACTCCTGAAACCATTTTCTCCCTTTCCTTTTCGCTCCTTACAAATGGCTCTGATCAGTCCTATCTTTATATTAACAGCTTTTTAAAAACCGTGCTGGATTTATGTGGATAAAATTAAGTTCTCTTGGCAGTGTGCACCGCAGACGTTGTAAACACACCCACACAAATGAAACCGACAAACTCGGTTGCTAGGTAACTTGTCAGGCTCTTCACAGAAGGTAATGCTTCTTCACCTACAAGATCTTTTCTAAATACTTCAGCTTAGTATCCAGTGACCTTCTCAACCTACTTCCAGTTGACCTGTTTCTGCCTACCATATTGGTACCTGTGCTCTGTGAACATCAGTCAGGACCAAGTGAGGCCCAGCCACCTGCTCACAGTACCCTCTTTGCACATGGTGGGCTAGGACTTGTGCTTGATGATTCGTGGCCCTCTTAGCATCTCCTTAAAGGTCGGGCACAGAGTGGGTGCAACAAACCTTAGGTGGAGGAATTCAACCCTTATAGTTTTGAAGAAGTCTTTAGGTCAATTAGTATGGAATGATAATACAGACACACAGGTGACTAGGGCATTGTCCCTGCTCCTGAGGAGTTCACAGTGGGGCAGTACCAGTGAGTCAACCAGGTAATGGGGCAACCACAATGGAGAGTCAGAGGAGTAGTGGAGTAACCCTAGAGACTGGATGTTTTATCCATTTGGGGGGAACTTGGCTTGGTAAGGGGCTGATAATCAGGGCACCTAGCAGAGGTCCAGTCTTTGGGAAGTGTCAGAATTTCATTGGGATAAGTTAGAATATAGGGCAAAATGTAAGCAGCCTCTTCTTTTAATAAGGCCCCCTG